AGAGAGAGAGAGAGAGAGAGAGAGAGAGAGAGAGATAGAGAGGAAAGGGAGACGGGGATGGGGATTCACGTGTGATGGAGTATATTAGATCGTGGCAGGGGAGATAAGAAATGAATGACTTAAGGTACAGAAGAAGATTGCCAGTTTCCTATCATTCGTTCCTTTACTCATGTAGGATACAATAGTTTTAACGAAATGATATCTCCTTACAGAGCCCGCGTCTAGTGTTTCCAAAAGGTTCTCAGTTACACGATTACATCATCTAGCAATCGAGCTGCTTCAATCCTGCTGGTCAGGGCCGACCCAGCTTGAGAGGCATTCGACGTCCGAACAGACAGACGCAGAAACTCGATTCAGAACCTCTCCGGCCGCACCGGAGTCAAACTCGCGTCGTGGGTGGTTGGCGGGTGCTCTGGTGTGGTTTTGCTCCTTCTTTCCTATCGAACATCTATTGGGTCCTAATCTCCCTTTCTTTTTTTTCTTCTGTTTGTTACTATCTTGTAATACCTCCAATCCTTCAGGCGCTCATATGACCTTATGCAGTTGCGAGCGCCGTAAAAGCTTTGCTAAAACTAAACTAAACTCGCGTCTTCTGTTCGCTTTGTGGGTGGTTGGCGGGTGCTCTGGTGTGGTTTTTCTCCTTCTTTCCTATCGAACATCTATTGGGTCCTAATCTCCCTTTCTTTTTTTTCTGTTTGTTACTCTCTTGTAACACCTCCAATCTTCTGGCGCTCATAATATGACCTTATGCAGTTGCGAGCGCCGTAAAATCTTTGCTAAAACTAAACTAAACTCGCGTCTTCTGTTTGAGACGGCGAAGAACGTTACCGCTACACCCAAAGACGCCGGTGGTGGAGCTTTAGAAGAGTAAGAATTATTTCTGTTAGCAGATGGTTGGAGGATGAAAGTGGTAGTCCACATTTCTTGTTGGCGTTTCCTGTTATTGGACACTCGGTTTGCTCACTTGGTATCCTGCTGGACTGCAGAACGAATTGCTCTAATGCGAATTCCAGTCTGGGTGTTAGTGTTCTTGAACTTGAGTTGTTTTGTATGATTCTAAGCCCATTTGGCTCGGTCCTATCGGAGATAAACATTAACTTCGAAGCCCCCGCCGGCCTCTTAAATAACGTAACAGTCTTGATGAAGGCGTTAAACCCATACCCATTCTAATCATCCCCTCCCCCTTTCTTATTTCTTTCTCTGTCATTTTGACTTTTTCCTCGCTTTAACTGCTCGTTATTGCGTCGACGTGCCTCTCCTCCCTCTAACTAAACTTATTTTCGTTCAAAAGTACAAGTTTAGATTGCGCCAAAAGCAATATTGATTTTTACTATCTCGTATATTGTACGCGCGTTTTGGTTTATTGTCTCTTCTGTGCTAATGAAGAATAAAAAAAAAAAGAAAAAGGAAATCGTGCGAAATATTAATCAACGCAAGTGATGATAGCATCTATAGACGAACTGGAGATAAACGGGTTGGCAAATCGACCAAAAATTCATATCTGGCACGCATGAGTAGTCGACCAGCAATGCTGCGATATAATTGTCCGTAATTATTCCTGCTCTCAGTGATGTCATAATCTGATCAATAGTTATCAGTTGGTGGTTGGTAGAGGCTCTGGGGTGATTTGCTCCTTCTTTCCCAACAAACATTTATCGCATTTTTCTTTCTTCTTTTTTGTGTTTGTTACTTTCTTGTTACATCTCAGATGTTCGCCACTATGTAACCTAACTGTGTTGCAAATGCCGTAAAACTCTTATGTAAGCAAATTGCTATCTTGCAGTAAGCGGATGGTTGGTTCTAGTATGACCTAATTTTGTTGCAAGTGCCGTAAAACTCTTACTAAAACAAATAACCGTCGCAGGTGGTTTCTGTCTGCTTCTTTTCTGTCCCACTTTGTTTTCGGTCTGTCTTTCTTGTCCCTTTCCTGCACTAAGTGGCCGCTGTCGTGTCAGTGTGTTTCTTTTTACTCACACTTCGTCGCCTTGATGAAGTAGGCCTACGGCATTTATGACTTTGGCATGTTTTTTTTTCTGCGCTGCGTTGTGCCAGGTCTGAAACGGACATCGGTAGTCATTGTTGGCGACTCATTTCTCTGCTGGAATGCTTAAAAGTACCTATGTTAGCTAGGTCTTTACTGTGGGTCTTTACTGTGTCACATACATTTTTAAGTTCTGTAAGTTTATTATTCTTCGTCGACCACTGCTCTTTTGCCTTCTATTTTCCCAGTGAGCACAAAATGTTCAAGGCCATTGTATCGTGAAAAAGTGCTGTGAGAGGATTCATAATCTTTTACAAAATATTTATAAAACACCAAAGCTCTATTGGGACCACACACGTTTGTTATGAAATTTCAGTTTATCGTAGCTTTAGTAGCTTCAGAAAGAGATTGTGGATATTTTCATGTCCCCTTCGAGAAAATCTGAACTTTTAACGGGTGGGCTGCTTCATCTGTCAGGGCGACCCAGACTAAATGGGATACAACATCCCAACTGACGGGCGGAGGTGCTGGATGAAATAGCATCCCAAACCCGAGAATGGAGAACTCGGGGTCTTCTGTATCAGGATAAAGGGCGTAGCTATTACACCATGAATTCCGTTTATCTGTTTCAGATTGTTTGAAAAGAAAAGAGAAGTAAAGCGAAAAGCTTTGAAAAAAGTAGCAGGTAAAATGACATTTTAAATAAATATGTAAATTTTAAAATCAAATTTGTGAAGGGAAAATATCTGGATAACACAGGTTTCTTTTGAAAACATCCGCACTGAAAATGAGTAGCGAACCATGATCGGCCATGACTGTTTCAGATCCGGCAAGTAAATGAGAAGAAGTTACGCTTTGTTGAAAAACGACCGCATGATATTAAACCAGTCCGTACCTTTTCTTGTGGGACTTGAAAGTGCCGGTGAGATGTGCAGCTACTTCCAGACAACCTCGATGAATCAGACACAAAGCGCCGCTTCTTTCCGTGCTGTATGCCGCTCCAACAACTGAACACCCGGGCTTTACGGGAGCGAATCCCGCGCGTGGCGCCTCCACAGGTAATTACCGTTGTTGTCAGGTGTGAATGGGGCTGTATCTGGTCCCGTCTGTCATCACAATTGACTGGTCAGGTCACGGTCATCCTAGAGTAGAGTTTGTGTCGGAAACTTATATCTTACGGTCAGGTCATTATTTATATTGTACTACTGTTTTCGCTGCTTACGAATTTTGTAGTTGTAGCTGCTGTTACTGTTATTGTTGTTGTTATTGTGGTTGTTAAGAATTATCCTCGATTTATCTATCTTCACTTTCAGTGGCGGGTTTTCCAGAGGGAGTAACAGGCTGGTCCTCCTTTTTTTTTCTTCTTTATCCTCTTGTGTTTTTGTCAGTCTATATTACACTTTCCTTAATGCGTTATTAAACGACTGGTATCCTGTCGATGTGCTTTTCTTTACCCACAAAACTAGATCTGTATACTCGATTTATCCTCACTCTCCTCGCGTGTTTTTGGCGTCTCTGCGTCCTCTGCGGCCCCCCACTCTTGCGTTCTGTTGAGCGTCATGAAACCGCCGGGGTTTTCACTGCACCGCCCGCCAGTGCGCGTGAGGCTTCGCTCACCCCCCCTACTTTATTGAGTGCTGGCGGCTTCCGCACGCGCGGGGCGACAGACGGGTCTACTTATTCTGCGTTGGATGTTTCAGATTATGATTACCATTCCTGTATCAAAGA